AAAATAAACTTTTCCATTACTGGGCTCTAAAAGAAGTCAGAAAGGCCGAGCGGTCTAAGACGCTGCGTTTAGGTCAAAATATTTTCTTGCGGGCATAGATTCGAATCTGATATGGATATGAAATTTTAATTTCTAGTCGTACAAGAACTTTCTCAAACTGCATTTAAAATAAACTTATCTCCTTCGGGGATCTACAAGTAGTTATTATGGTCGAGCCGTGTAAGGCGCTGCGTTCAGGTCGCAGTCCACTCTTGTGGTGTTTTTTTTCAAATCCCTCTTCTGAACTGGATCCTAAATATTATTTTCTAACTAGCCGCACATAATCTTTCTAAAAGTCTGAATTTAAACTTCACTTATCGGTTTCGGATCGCAACGTGAAGTCAGGATGGCCCTGCGGTCTAAGGCGCTGCGTTCAGTTCGCAGTCCACTCTTGTGGGCGTGGGTTCGAATCCCACTTCTGACATGAATGTGAAATTTTATTTTCCTTCTAATTTCGAGCCGTACATAATCTTTCTCAAACTCTCCATTTAAAATAAACTTATCCGTTAGTGGGCTCTAAAAGATGTCAGAACGGCCGAGTGGTTAAAGGCGCTGCGTTCAGTTCGCAGTCCACTCTTGTGGGCGTCGGTTCGAATCCCATTTCTGACATGAATATGAAATTTTATTTTCCTTCTAATATCTAGCCGTACATAATATTTCTCAAACTCTGCAATGAACTTTTCCATTACTGGGCTCTAAAAGACGTCATAAAGGCCGAGCGGTCTAAGACGCTGTGTTCAGGTCGTAGTTCTCTCTAGAAGACGTAGGTTCGAATACCACTTCTGACACGAATCTTAAATATTGTTTTCCTTCTAATTTCTAGCCTTACATAATCTTTCTCAAACTCTTCATTTAAAATAAACTTATATGTTTCTGGATTCCACAAAAAGTCAGGATGGCCGCGTGGTCTAAGGCACTGCGTTCAGGTTCCAGTCCTCCCTTGTTGGCGTTTGTTCGAATCCCACTTCTGACATGAATATGAAATTTTATTTTCCTTCTAATTTCCAGCTGTATATAATCTTTCTCAAACTCTCCATTTAAATTAAACTTATCCGTTAGTGGGCTCTAAAAGATGTCAGAACGGCCGAGCTGTCTAAGGCGCTGCGTTCAGGTCGCACTCAACACTTGTGGGCGTGGGTTCGAATCCAATTTCTGACATGAATATGAAGTTATATTTTCCTTCTAATCTCTAGCCGTACATAATCTTTCTCAAACTCTTAATTTAAAATATACTTATCCATTACTGTGCTCTAAAAGAAGTCAGAAAGGCCGAGCGGTCTAACGCGCTTCGTTCAGGTCGTAGTTCTCTCTTGTGGGCGTGGATTCGAATCCCACTTATGACATGAATCTGAAATTTTGTTTTCCTTCTAATTTCGAGCCGTATATAATTTTCCTCAAACTCAGCACTTAAAATAAACTTATATGTTTCTGGATTCTACAAGAAGTCAGGATGGCCGAACTGTCTAAGTCGCTGCGTTCAGGTCGCAGACCACTCTTGTGGGAGTGGGTTCGAATCCCACTTCTGACATGAATATGAACCGCACATAATCCGCACTAGCCGCACATAATCTTACTCAGACTCTGCATTTAAAATTTACTTATCAGTTTCGGGACTCAGAAAGAAGTGAGGACGGCCGAGCGGTCTAAGGCGCAGCGTTAAGGACGCATTCCACTATTGCGGGCTTGGGTTAGAATACAACTTCTGACACGAATCTTAAATTTTGTTTTCCTTCTAATTTCTAGCCGTACATAATCTTTCTCAAACTCTTCATTTAAAATAAACTTATATGTTTCTGGATTTCACAAAAAGTCAGGATAGCCGAGCTGTCTAAGGTGCACCGTTAAAGTTGCACTCTACTCTTGTGGGCGTGAGTTCGAATCCCATTTCTTACGTGAATATAAACTTTTAACTTCAAGCCGTACATAATATTTCTCAAACTCTGCATTTAAAATAAACTTATCAGTTTCGGGGCTCTGCAAAATGTCAGAATGGCCGAGCCGTTTAAGGCGCTGCTTTCAGGTCAAAATATTTTCTTGTGGGCATATATTCGATATGATATGAAATATTAATATATGATATTCTGATATGGATATGAAATATTAATTTTTAGCCGTACATGAAACTGCTTTTAAAATAAACTTATCTCCTTCGGGGCTCTACAAGAAGTTATTATGGCCGAGCCGTGTAAGGCGCTGCGTTCAGGTCGCAGTCCACTCTTGTGGGCGTGGGTTCGAACCCCACTTCTGACATGAATGTGAAATTTTGTTTTCCTTCTAATTTCTGGAAGTACATAATCTTTCTCAAACTCAGCATTTAAAATAAACGTATTTGTTTCTGGATTCTACAAGAAGTCAGGATGGCCGAGCGGTCTAAGGCGCTGAGTTCAGGTCGCAGTCCACTCTTGTGGGCGTGGGTTCGAATCCCACTTCTGACATGAATATGAAATTTTTTTTCCTTCTAATTTCTAGCCGTAAATAACCTTTCTCAAACTCTCCATTTAAAATAAACTCATCCGTTACTGGGCTCTAAAAGAAGTCAGAACGCCGATCTGTTTAAGGCGCTGCGTTCAGATCGCAGTCTACACTTGTGGGCGTGGGTTCGAATCCCATTTCTCACATGAATATAAAATTTTAATTTCCTTCTAATTTCTAGCCGTACATAATATTTCTCAAACTCTTAATTTAAAATATATTTATCCGTTATTAATCTCTAAAAGAAGTCAGAAAGGCCGAGCGGTCTAAGGCGCTGCGTTCAGGTCATAGTTCTCTCTTGTGGGCGTGGGTTCGAAACCCACTTCTGACATTAATCTGAAATTTTGTTTTTCTTCTAATTTCTAGCCGTACTTAATCTTTCTCAAACTCTGCATTTAAAAAAAAATTATATGTTTCTGGATTCTGCAAGAAGTGAGGATGGCCGAGCCTTCAAAGGCGCTGCGTTCAGGCCGCGGTCCACTCTTATGGGCTTGGGTTCGAATCCCTCTTCTGACATGAATATTAAATTTTATTTTCCTTCTAATTTCCAGCCGTGCATAATCTTTCTCAAACTCTCCATTTAAAATAAACTTATCCGTTACATGGCTCTAAAACATATCAGAACGGCCGAGCTGTCTAAGGCGCTGCGTTCAGGTCGCAGTCCTCTCTTGTGGGCGTGGGTTCGAATCCCACTTCTGACATGAATCTGAAATTTTGTTTTCCTTCTAATTTATAGCCGTACATAATCTTTCTCAAACTTGTAATTTGAAATAAACTTATCCGTTACTTTGCTCTCAAAGAAGTCAGAATGGCCGAGCGGTCTAAGGCGCTGCGTTCAGGTCACTGTCCTCTCTTGTGGGCGTGGGTTCAAATCCCACTTCTGACATTAACCACTTAACTGAATAGTTTTCTTTGCTATCTAATAAGATGACCCCTTCTGTTTTGGAGAGAGGCTGTCGGTTTCATTCATCTAAGAAGGCATAGGATACTTAAGATGTTTATGGATCCTACATATTTTTGGTGTCAAATTATAAAGCTAATTAATGATTCAATTTTAGTTTATAAGACTAAAATTTCGATCATTCGATGCACGAGTATTCTCGGGCTGTTAAGTTAAGTGGTTAAAACAAAATTTTATTTTCATTCTATCCGTACATAATCTTTCTCAAACTCTGCATTTAAAATAAACTTATATCTGTCTGGATTCTACAAGAAGTCAGGATATCCGAGCGGTCTAAGGCGCTGCGTTCAGGTCGCAGTAAACTCTTGTGGGCCTGGGTTCGAATCCCACTTGTGACACTAATCTGAAATTGTGTATTCCTTCTATTTTCTAGCAGTACATCTGAAACCTTTCTCAAACTCTGCATTTAAAATAAACTTATACTAGGGGGGGCTCTGCCCCCTGCTCGCTAAAGCTCGCCAACCCCCAGAAAGATTGCGTTGTAATCCTCCCAGGTTTTCTACGCAAACTCTGCTCGCTTCGCACGCTATAATGAGAAATTGTGTGTCCTAGAAGTTATTCTAACATCTTCATATATATATATATATATATGAATCAGCTTTATTTTGCTTCTGATGCTTTAACTTAAATCAGCACAGAATAAAATTTTTTAGCCTCAAAAAAGATATTTTTCTTCAAATAAAACTTACAAAGTAAAGCTGATTTCCTTTTAATGCTTTCACCTTTATAAAGAAGGAATTAAATTTTTTGGCCCTGAAAAGGGCCGTTTTTTATATAGTGAAAGCATCAGGAAACTCCCCCATAAACACAATTAAATATTTCATATAATATGCAACAAATTTCAAAATAATATACAACATTGAAGATTGTGCTCTACAAAAAAAATTGTATCAAAGCAGGTATATTCAATCCACTCAGATATAAAATAATATACAACATTGAAACAAATTAAAAATGCAATGCAAAAAATACACTTGACAATCAATCACAGAAACAGATTCAAAAGATCGTGCTCTACGAAAACATAAATTGTACGAAAGCAGGTATATACATATTCAATACATTCATATATAAAATAATATACAACATTGAAGATTGTGCTCTACAAAAAAATTGTATCAAAGCAGGTATATTCAATCCACTCAGATATAAAATAGTATACAACACTGAAACAAATTAGAAATGTAATGCAAAAAAATACACTTGACAATCAATCACAGAAAACTTCCTCATAAACACAGTTAAATATTTCACATTTTGGAGCTACCACAGAAACAGATTCAAAAGATCGTGCTCTTGATAAACCAACATAGAGTTGTCCATGACTAAAAACCGGCTCATTGAGCACCAAACATATCTTTTCAAAAGTTTGGCCTTGCGACTTATTAATTGTCATGGAAAAGGCTAAACGAATGGGAAATTGCATACGTTTAAATTGGAAAGGCATGTTAGTCTGAGATGGAATCAAAGGGATTCGGGGAATGAGAAACGTCTCTGTACCATCAATGGATTTTGCCAGAATAATGTTTTGCTGCAATTTTGTGATAATTAGGCGTGAACCATTGCATAATCCTTTAGAGGGAGCTAAATTTCTCAACAGCATTATAATGCAACCTATTTTCAACTTTAACTCATATGGAGGCAAACCAGTTGGTGTCAAAGAATTTAAAAATTCTTCAAGAAATGTCAATTGATCTTGAGGATCTTCACTCATGATCATATCAACTGCTTTATAAACAGTTTCATTTCCCGGCATAAATTCCAACACTTTATTGTTGATTTCCATGGATCGCTCATTAATAACAGTAAGGAAGCTCGACCTTTAAGCTCCTGTGGGGTCACACTGGAAAAATCTATGTCACTGTACAATTGATGTATGGGGTCTTGTATTGAAGGGTAGCATTGCAAAGGCAACTGAATCGTTGAGCCACTTTTTTTCTCTCCAATGTCCAACAACCAAGCACCAAAATCCCTTTCAGATTCAAGGGCACGCATATTTTTTGTCAGATATAACTTATGAAATTTCAACCAAAGAGCGTGTTTTTTTAAGGAGCTGGCAACAGTTAATGTTCTTGAACCTCTTAAAATTACTGGAAGAACTTGGCGAAAATCTCCACCCAGTAGAATGACTTTGCCCCCAAACGGTTCTTTACATTTTGTGAGATCTTGTAAAAGTCTATCAACAGCTAAGAAAGCATGAACATATGTCATGGGTGCTTCAACCCACACAATTAATTTTGTTTTCAGTAACATGTCAGCTTCTTTTGTATTAGGCTTCAAATTGCAAGTAGATGTTGCATTTAAATCAATTGGAATTTTAAATTTCTCCCTATTAATAGAGTTGCAGCAATACCTAGAGATAGCAAATAACATCATCAACCCTCTACCACGTATTGTGAACTAAAGTTGAATAAATGCAAAAGTTTTTCCCTGTCCAGCAGACTCTAAAAAATAACACTTGGGTGTATCTGCAGGTTGTTGTACACTGCATAATAAGATTTCCACAACATTCGCTGTTCACTATTTAACTGCATAGCACA